GTGATTCAGAGTCATTTGAAAATGTGCCTCAGATTCACCAAAGCCCACAGCTCAGAGAGAAAACTGGCTCATTAAAATGGTATCACACCAGGTCATCCTTATTATCTTCCCCCCAAATTATTAAATGTACATGTTACTGAGCAGGGTGCTTTGCAGGTTACTTAAAAAGCAAAGAAAATCTATTTTTGATTCTGAGAAAATCTTTGAGAATCGGAGACATAGTCAGTTTCAAACTGCTTTTCGCACCTGAGCAGAATTATCAGTTACTCTGTCCCGGGGAGGAAGAGAGAATTAGGTTGTTCATTATTAAGGCTCCTGGTACCCTTCGCCCCACGGGTTCAGGCTGACCCTCGAACTCACAAATTGCCTGCTGGTGAGGCAGTTAATGAATAAAGAACTGAGTAAAGGTTCTGGGGTTAAAAATTACCAAGAAGGGTTCGATATAGTTCAAATAGGAAGACAAAGACTCAACATTTACATTTTTAGCCATGGTTCTCTGTAATCATTGAACGTAGTTCTATTCCTGTTCTATAGGATACCTGCCTGACTTGCTTACACTTTGTCAGTGGGACTTGTTAACTCGCTACGATTCAGTTCTCTTCTTTACAGAAAATATCATTACCAGTGTGAAAGCAGAGTTTGCTTGTTTTTTTGTTTTTTTTTTTGAAAATGAGTTTTTGATGCCCTCAATAGTAGCTTTTATGCGGGGAAAAGACCACTGAGAGGTTTACTTAGGTATCTTTTTAAATGACTACTTTATGTACTTGCTTCTTTCTTAAACTTTTAATTTATCTCATACTCTAAACTCTTTTTAAAAGTTTAGCAAATTTTTACAATTGCTTTTAAGGGGGACTTTCGACCCTTGTTAAACTCCCTTAAACATCTCAACTTACTAATTTCCTTTTATGTTTAACATTTTACGTTAAAAATTTCAATTTTCTTTTCAATAATACAATTGCCCAACTTAAACGGTCTTCCTCACGACTTAACTCTGATAGTCTCATAAACTAGATTTATAAATACATTAAGTTACCTTAAATCTTTCAAGAAAGTACACAAATTTAATAAGAATTGAATTTAATATCACTATACGGATACACTTTAGAAAATGAAATTACAAGGCAAACATTGTAATGAAACATAGTAGCAAATATGCAAGATTCCTTAATACAACATATACACCATGGATTTTGTTCTTTTAAGATTTTTGTATAAGCTCCGTATTCTTCCTGGGTGAAAAGATGCACCATCACTAACGAGGTATTTATGTCATACCAAAAAATTGTTGGAAATGCCTTCTGAATAAGGTGAAGTTCTAGAATGATTCTTTCTCTCCCTTTTGGTCTTTTTTGTTGCAGTAAAAAATACATAACATAAAATTTACTATCTTTACCATTTCCAAGTGTACAGTACAGAAATGTTTAGTATTTTCATATTGTTGCACAACCAATCTCCACAACTTTTTCACTTTGAAAAAGTTGAAACTCTCTATCTGTTAAATAATTCCCCATTTCTCCCCTCGCAAACCACCGACAGCCACCATTCTACTTTCTCTTGCAATGGATTTGACTGCTTTGGAGACCTCACAGAAGCAGCATCATACAAGTTCCAGTGTTTCTCTTTGTGTGACTGGCTTATTTCACTTAGCACAATGTCCTCAAGGCTCATCCATATGTCAGAATTTCCTTCCTTTCTCAGGCAGAATTCTTTTGTTTTTTTTAATTTTTTTAAATGTTTTATTTATTTCTAGGAGACAGAGAGAGAGAGAGAGAGACAGCGTGAGCAGGGGAGGGTCAGAGAGAGAGGGAGTCACAGACCGAAACAGGCTCCAGGCTCTGAGCTGGCAGTCAGCACAGAGCCCGACGCGGGGCTCGAACCCACGAACCGCGAGATCATGACCTAAGCGAAAGTCGGCCGCTTAACCGACTAAGCCACCCAGGTGCCCCTCTCAGGCAGAATTCTTAATGACAACAGTGACAAACTAAGTCTTAGTTATCATCACTATACCTTTAAAGGAGGATGGAGAAGAGTTTCACAGAGTTCACGTCCATGAATTTAAGTTACAAATAAGTAACAGGTTTCCTAACGTAGACATAAATGCTGATTCTCTCCTGAGTTAAGATCTTTCCACTTGGCTTGTAATACCCTGAACTTTCTCTCTCAAAACAACTTTTAAGCTGGTGTTTATGGGGTGGGGGAGAGTATATTTATGTCCCCCAAACTCAATGCAATATTTTTTTAAATCAAAATGATGAGAGGGAAAAGCCTTGAGTTGAGGTCCAAACACAGTTGACAGAATGACGGGGTCCATGTAGAAGCCTTGACAAGTATAACATCATGCCAATAAAAGAGATGTGATTCTTAGGATATCTAAGGCATAAAGAGAGACATTACAGCATTACTGCATATGATACAACGTTTAGTTATAATAGTTTCACATCCTGATAATAGAGTCTGTTACTCATATGCATTGGTTTCCTGTATTAAAAAAATGATTGGAAGCACTGAGTTGATGGTTAACGTATTAAAATCTTTCAATTTCAAATAATCGGGCATGAGTCTCTGTTAAAATTGTGTGTGAAAGTGCTGATTGTCAGGAACGGTTTACTGACATTAGTCAGGGAATGCTTGAACTTGTCTTCCAGAAGTGTGCGGCCACACTGGGAGTGTCGCCCCTTGCTTCATCCTATCAGGTGGATTTACGTTTCTTCGTCTCCTGGGATATTTAAATATCTTCCTTTCCACTTTCATCAATCTTTGACTTGACCATATCTTACATTCTTTTTGTGGTTTATCTTCTAGGATCATAATTTTTATAAATATTGTAAGATATTTATAAAATGAAGTTTAAAAGCCAGGAATCCCCATGGCCTTGTCTGGTTTCCACGCTATTGACTTTTTTAAAAAATTATTTATTTAAATTCAAGTTAGTTAACATACTATGTAGTATTGGCTTTAGGAATAGAACCCAGTAATTGACTACATACATATAACACCCAGTGCTCATTCCAGTGAGAGCTCTCCTTACCGCCCATCACCCATTTAGCCCATTCCCCCCTCCAGCAATCCTCAATCTGTTCTCTGTATTTAAGAGTTTCTTAAGGTCTATCTCCCTCTCTGTTTTTCATCTTAGTTTTCCTTCCCTTCCTCTATGTTCATCTGTTATGTTTCCTAAATCTCACATATGAGTGAAATCATATGATATTCGTCTTCCTCTGACGGACTTATTTTGCTTAGCATAATACCCTCTAGTTCCATCCACGTTGTTATAAATGGTAAAATTTCATTCTTTTTGATTTCTGTACATACTCCTGACTTTTAAGATGTTTCTGCTGACACTTGTGCGTGCAGTACCATCATTTTCTTTATAGATCTATATTGCCTGTCTATGTCTGCCTCTTAATCTGGCTTGTCACACTGAAAAGCTTTTTTGGATAAGTTATAGAAATGTTTTTGATATTTACTGGGTCAAATGATGTTGTAATTTCTCTGTTTTAATAAATGTAAGCAGTAAAATATGTATAGTAGGCTTCCAATCCAAACTGCTTCACTGAATTACTACTGACAGACATTTTTGCTTTAGTCCAAAACAATGAAATAGTTCCTGTTACAAAGTAGTCTGAGTCATTGTCATCTATAATCTTACTTACCCGTCAGGTTAGAAGGAAAATGTCCAAACTGTTTGCTTTACAAAGAGTCTTAAGGGCAAGCTAATTTTCTTTACCTAAATTTTTATGTAAATAACTGCAAAATAGGGGCACCTAGGTGATTCAGTCAGTTAAGCATATGACTTCTGCTCAGGTCATGATCTCACAGTCGTGAGTTCGAGTCCCACTTCAGGCTTCGTGCTGACAGCTCAGACTCTGGAGACGGCTTCAGATTCTGTGTCTCTCTCTCTCTCACTCAAAAATAAACATTAAATTAAAAAAAAATAACTGCAAAATATTAAAATCAGAAGAAATTGTTCCTAGCCTTAGAAGTTTGGTGAATTTTTTGGGGGGTACCTGGGGTGGCTCAGTTGGTTAAGTATATGACTCTTGATTTTGGCTCAGATCGTGATCTCACAATCATGAGATAGAGGCTGGTGTGGGACTCCAAGCTACATGTTGGAGTCTGCTTAAAATTCTCCCTCTCCCCAGCCCTCTGCCCCTTCCCACGCCCTCAAACTTTCAAACCCCTTCAAAAAAGAAAAAAACAAAAAAGTTTGGTGAATTTTTGCTAGATACAAACGAGCGCCAAGTTCAGGAAGGATAGAGCAGTGTGCCCAGGAACGCTAAAAGAACATGAGATCCTAACTCTGATGAAACCTCTTTTCACTTCAATGTATTAACACCCTTGCCAGACAATGGAAACAGAACTGTTACTAGATAATACCATTCTGAATAAGGGTATATTACAAGGAGACAGAAGAGAATTATTCCTCTGAAAAATATGAACTGATTTTTATGTGGAACAGCATCTTAAGGCAACAGTGCCTTGCAGGTACGCCCCTCGGCGAGCTGTAGCAGAGTCACAGAATAGAAAGGCTCTGAGATCTCAGACCCCCTGTGCCATCATGACACACTGTTTGTTCCAGAGGACTCTGGTCCAGGGAGATAAGACTATAGATCAGTAAGTTTTACTATTTGCCCAGGGAATTTCGGCAAACTAATTTTGTCCCAGCAAATACTTGGCTCATTTGGATAAACACATCTCCTCTCAGGACAGTAGGTAGCTGAGTTGGGCAAGCAGCTTCCTTACCCTTTAATGGTTTACTCATTAAGACACCTTGCTGTGTCCATCAGTCACAAATTATTGTATCAAAACTATCAACGTCAGTTACTTGCCATGCAAGACTGGCTCTAAACCTCCTAAACCTAGCCACCTAAACTCTATATACTGTTTCTTGAAATCTCCCTTCTGAGATGAGACTTTCTTTGAGGGTGGTACTCTCCCTTATCACACTAAGTCTAATAAACTTAGTTCTGCTTGATCAACAGACTTTTCTGATGTTCTTTTAGGGGATTGACATTGACAGTCCTGGAGACCATGAAAAGAGCTGATGGAGAGCCCCTGGCCGACACTGCCCAACGTCCTCAGCTCTGAAACCGCATGTACCCTTGAGGTTTGAACTTCATGTCCAGGGCTGTCTCCCACTGCAGCAGTGAGGTAGGTCCTGCACAGGTACTTAAGACCAAACGATTTATGTGAAGTCCTCTCTAAAACAGTTTATTTTGTGTCCTGGGAATGAGGATTCCTCTCAGAAATCCTTTGGTTATCTGGTCAGCTTTGAAAACTCTTATATTTGGAGGGAGGGCTGGTTTGTTATCAATAAAAGAATGTCTTGATTCTTTTTTTTTTTTTTTTTTTTGTCCTGGTCACTTTTTGTCATGAGTCCATGAGAGAAAATTTGGAGGGGAAGGGATGAACGTAGCTTCAATAGTCTGTCTCTCAATCCATCCTCTAGGGCTGATAGGTTCAGAAGGTCCCATCAGACCAGCATCTTTACTGGACCAGTTTTGCCATGGGCCACCTATCCAAACCTAGTAAGACCTTTCTTCCCTCTTGCCTCTGTTTCTTCGATAATTACTTAAGGTAGTTTCTTTGGCTTGGAGCCAGCAGTCTCAAAGCTGTGAGACTGGCTCATCAGCCAGATTCCTACAGGTGCTGCAGAAATTTCAGGGTCTTCTTTGACACCCTGGGCTACACCTGTGCTGCCTTCACACTTTCATTCAGGTGCATATTTCTCTCACTGGCCTAATATTCACCAAGGAGCATTTAGAAGCATTGTGACCGCTTTGGGATATTTCTGACATGAACTGGCTAAATCATTTAAGGGACCATTTAGAACAAGAAGGAAGAAAACCTTGGGAAGACATTTCTGACTTCTTTGGCTAAATAACAGATCATTTTTTATCATAAGAGAGAACCTCAGGTTTTCCTACTTTGGTGATGAGCGGGTACGAACTTTTTAATCCTATGGTTTGATTGAATCGTTAAAGACCCTAGTTATTGCTTCAGTAAGCTGTACTGCTTTTTCTTTGGTGTGTATACATGTAAAAATAGGGTTTCTTTCATCTAATCCTCCTTTCCTGGTAGAGTTTAGGTAATTAGCCTTTTATAGTGACATTTTGTAACTGTTGTAAGCTGGCTTCCTCCACTTGTTTCTTTTATTTTCTTCTCTTTGGAAATTTGGAAATGAATCTGTTCATGCACATGCTCTGTCATTATGTGCAAATACTAGGGCTATCTGGTGCAGTCACAAAGTGAAGGCTTTCCAAAAACAAAGGAGGAGCAGAGGGGAAATACTAAATTGTGCCTCTTCTGTATGTTTTCCCTTGCCAAGAGCGAAACTCAGAGAAAAGTTAACTGTGAATTCAAGTAATAGACGTGGTCCTGAGCTAGAAAGAAAGTTTCGACACTGAAAAGTTTTGGCAAAACTCCAGTCTTTACATTTTTTGATATGTTAATATAGAGATTTATTTATATTTGAAAAATCAGGAAATGATATTCTTCTTGAATAGACAATTCCTTGGACAAATTAGAGTAATTGTAGCTTAAAATCAACATTGTCTTCTTACTAATTTTATCAACATGGAAAAATCTTTAGCAAAATATTTTAGTTAGTATGAGGTGAGTTTAATTTTTCATCATTTAAATATTTAAGATTCCCTACATTAGTTCCATGGATCCAGTAAGTTATCTTTGTTTCCACAAAAATTTTAGGATTACAAAAATAAATAAAGCTGTGTTTCAATGAAAATGTAATGAGAGATGTCTTTGGAAAGAGCTTAATCTTTGAAATTGTTATCTTCTAGTCAAAAATGTCAACAGTGCCAAAGTGGAGAAAACCAAAATTATGAATCTAGTCTAATTTGTCTAAGATTTCACCTTGATAATGTGGATGTGGATTCTTATGTAAAAGTGCTTCTGAACTAAGTCCTCTAGAAAGGTTTTTTTCAAAAAGGTTTTTTTTTTACATTTTTTCATTTATAAAATATTAAAATTTAGTTTCTTTAATTTCTAGAAATTCGAGGAATATATTATATTATTGTAACATTAACTTGTATAAACCAATCAGAATAGAGCTCTTTTCTTTTGTGAGCCTTTGCAATCTAATTTATTAATACCCTCTGGAATAGGAAAACATTTGAAGTCACCCCCCAGAAAAGCTAAAGACTTTCCTCAATCACAAAAACACAGAGAGAGCTTGTAGCTTTGGGTCTACAACCTCAAGTAAAAGTAAACACAGAACACAAAAACTCCAGAGTTCAGATATCAAAGGGCTATTCTCCCCTCCAACAAACAAAAATATTTTCTTAATTGATATGAGTTCACAAATAGTCAAACAGAAAAATAAGCCAGATTCTCTGTTGTCTCTTACCTGACAAAGAACAGATCTCCATCACCCCTTGAAGATTACTAAATGACAGGACCATACGAACAGACTACCAATAATTGTTGCAATCAATTAGGAGACATTTATTGGCCACACACAAATCAAGTTGATGTAAACACAAGGTGCTCAATTGACTGCACTGTCAAGACTGACTATTATACCATTCCTCCCTGCTCTTGGTTATAGAAAGCAACCAACAGACTTGACCAAACACCAAAAATAAAGCAAATCTCGGGGGGTGGGAGGGAAAGGAAAGGAAAGAAAAAGTGTAGAAACTGTGAGTAAGCAAAGATAAGTTTCCACATTTGACTGGGAAACCCTGGGGAGCCAAGAAAAAACATGGCTTGGACTAGCAGCTCACTGAGTTCACTTCCTGGACAATGGCATTCTATTGAATCCAGCAGATAAGTCCACTTGGGTATCTCAGTGGATGACCTATCAACATGTTAAAGTACAATATGTTCACAGAATTGAAATACAGCTCTTATACAAATATAAAATGAATACAAGTCAAATATTTTGTCCAACTGTTTATTTATTTATATTTTTAAAAAAGTAATCTCCATACCCAACGTGGGGCTCAAACTCATGACCCCAAGATCAAGAGTCACATGCTCTGCCAACTAAGCCAGTCAGGCATCCCTTTTTGTCCATTTTTAAAATATTGAAATTGTCAAGAACTGTGATGGGTCTGGGGCACCTGGGTGGCTCAGTTGGTTAAGGGTCCGACTCCTGATTTCGGCTCAGGTCCTGGTCTCACAGTTCGTGAGATCCAGCCCTGTGTGGGGCTCTGTGCTGGCAGCATGGAACCTGCTTGTGACTCCCTCTCTCCTCTCTCTCTGCCCTTCCCTCACTTGTGCATGAACACATGCATGCTCCCTCTCTCTCTCTTTCTCATGCTCTCTCTTTCAAAAAAAAAAAAAAAAAAAAAAAAGGATCTGAGATTTTATCCTATTTGCAGGCAAAACAGTTACCTGCAGTGGATTCATGGATGCTGAAAGAAGACACAAGTTGCCTGGGACAAAAACAAAAAGAAATGTATTACTTATGGCATAGCAAGCAGTATGAGCATAAGCATATTTGGTGCCAGTTCTTCAAACCCTAATTTCTACACAGTGATATGAAGATGGCCCGGTGCCACCCGCACATGTAGTGGGTTGCATTCTAGGAGTGGAACTCTGGGTAACACACACCAAGCATGCCTGACCCCCAGCTCAGGAGGGAGACCTAGCTCTACCTTCCAAGGCTGTACGCAAAGCTGCACTTCGTTCTGGAAGCAAGTAAATGTATCATCCAAGGCTATTGCTGTATAAACATTTTTGGAATGATAATTCAGAACAAAGGCGGTTAGTACCTCTACTCATAAGACACACAGGTACATGAGAGACCCTTGGAGAATTGTCTCCTAACAATAACAATTAAAATGGTAAAGCTAATTCTAAAAACATTTTGAGAAACTACCTATTTATAGGCACTTGAGTAAAGTAATGTTAGTATAAAATTGTTGGGTTAGGTATAAAACTGGTTCCCTCACAGCAAGAAACAAAGAAATGCAACACAATTTTGGAAGTTAACTTTTCTTTCACACAGAAATCTGTAAGATAACGTGAATTTCACGGTGTCTAGACTCTAATCACACAGTGAAAGAAACACTAAAACACAGGTAAAAGAGCTGTTTAATTTTCTTAAAGAATTACATAATTCTCATTTTTAAAAATTTAATAATGATCCAGTATGACATTGAGAATATATCTGTACTCTCTTGGCTTTATTTCCAAGCTTTGGATAAATTTTCATAAACTGTGAATATAAAATGCTTGTTCATAGTTTCATGTCTTTGTATGAATACTGAGAATATACTTCCCTTCACTGCTTATACAGTAAACACCTTTGCATCCTTCAAAATCATACCCAAAGCTGTTAACAAAGACTAGTGTTCATGTTATCATGGTAATATTCAGAGTAAAATATAATATCTAGAACGCTGAGATATCCAATTTTCTTTGATAAGTTTGCTCACATCCCAGAAGGAAACAAACAGCATGTCTCCTATCCAGGGATTCCTCAATTGTATGAATATTTTCAAAGAACAAACTTTTTACTTTGTAACTTTTTTCTATTGTTGTTCATTTTCAATTTCATTGATTTCTGCTCTCCTCTTTATTGTTTCTTTTGTTTGACCTAGTTTGGATTTAATTTTTGTTTTAAGGCTTCTGAGGTAGAAACTTAGGTCAATGTTGTTAAATGGTTCTGCATGTCTAACATAAACATTTAGAATTATAGATTCCCCTCTAAACAGTGCTCTAATTGCATCTTGAATATTTTAATATAGAGTCTTTTCATTATTATTCAGCTCAAAATATTTTAGAATTTTATTGTCGCTTTTTCTTTGACCCGTGGTTTATTTAGAAGTGTAATTTCCAAATATAAATTTCCAAATTTCCTCATGCTCCTTTGCAATTTATTACCTCCCTGCAATAGATAAGTTAAAATGATTTAAAAGATAAACTATGTAGACAATAAAAGCCTCCAAAAACTTAGTGTGGTATATTAATACCATATAATGTAGACCTCAAAACAAGGAACTACTACCCAGGATAAAGAAAAATATATAAAGATCATTCAAATAAACATGGAACATTCTCCTAATACATCATACTATGGGTCATATAACAAACCTCAAAAAAATTAAGAAAAAATGCAATCATATGAAATGGAAAAAAAAAAGAGAAATACAACCCTTGACAATCAGGACAGATAGCCTGGCATGTTTTTTGAGGAAAAACAAAATAGATTTGTTGTGAAGTTGAGTTTGTTCCAGAACATTAAAGAACACAGTAAAGGATAAAACTTAAGTGTGTATAGCAAGTTATAGAAGGTTTGAGGAAAATGAATTTTATTTGCCATGCTTTATATCTGAGTCTGAAGGAAAACAGACAAAATATGTGAAGATTATGGCAAAATTTGCTTAGTTTTGATGTGTTTTTTAATATTCTTTACTGCCAAAGACTAAATTAATGCAACACTAGAATTTTATTTTCTCCCTATGAAAATATGAATTGATCGCGAAATATTTAGTCTGCTTTTAACAAAAGTAATAAAAGACTGTTCTTTACCTTCTGTGTAATCTGAGTAGTTAGCAGAAATTCTATATACCATCAGAATAATTTCCTGTCATTTGAGCTGACTTTATTTTATTCTTGATGACCTCAAAAAAAAGTACATCTTTTCAGAACAGCTAAAATTCAGTTCCTTACCATTTTGTTATCTTCTCCTGTTTTTATTTTATATTGTTGTTACTTTGATTTATGTATGGTTAAGCTATAGCTTGTCACTGCCCAACAAATGACCAAATCTTTTTTTTTTTTCTTTTTTTTGAGAGGGAGAGAGGGTGCAAGTGAGCAAAGGGCAGAGAGAGCGAGCGAGAGCAAGAGAGAGAGAGAGAGAGAGAATCCCACGAGGGGCAGAGGGAGAGAATGAGAGAGAGAAGTGGGGTTCACCTGGGGCTCATGCTTACCTGAAACAGGGCTTGTGCTCACCCGACGTGGGGCTCGCGCTCACCCGATGTAGGACTCAAGCAAACAGACCATGAGATCGTGACCTGAGCTGAAGTCAGATGCTTAACAACCGAGTCTCCCAGGAGCCTATGACCAAATCTTTTCTTATAATTCTTTATTTTGTTTCCTCGAGATCAGATCCTAAATTCAGGAAAAGAAATATGTATTAGGATTTTTTCATTTTTTAAGTTGTGGTAAAATATATATAACATAAAAGGCACCAGAATAACCTTCTTAAGTGGACAGTTCTTTCTGTAGCATGAAGCACAATAAGTACTTTCGCATCTAACACCACCATCCATATATCCAGAACTTTTTCACCTTCCCCACTTGAAACTTCATGCCCATTAAACAATATCTCCCCGTTCCTCCCTTCCCTGCGGCTCCTGGCACCCACAATTCTGCTCTCTGTCTCCGTGAATGTGACTACTATAAATAGCTCATGTGAGTGAAATCATACAGAAGTTGTCATACTGTGACTGGCTTATTTCACTTGAAATGTCTTCAAGCTTCATCCACATGTAGCATGTATCAGAATTTTCTTGCATTTTAAAAAACGTTTTGTTTATTTTTGATAGAGCACAAGCAGAGGAGGGGCAGAAAGAGGGAGACAGAGGATCCGAAGTGGGCTCTGAGCTGATAGCAGAGAGCCCGATGTGGGGCTTGAACTCCTGACCTGAGCCAAAGTCAGATGCTCAACTGACTGAGCCACCTACCCACCCCAGAAATTTCTTGCTTTTTAACGCTTAATATAATATTCCACTGTATGTAAATTCCATGTTTTGTTTTTATCCTTCTCATCCTTCAATGGACTCATGGATTGCTTTCACTATTTGGCTGTTGTGGATAATGCTGCTGTGAACATGGGTGTACAAATACCTTTTCGAGAGCTTGCTTTGAAATCGTTGGGTATATACTGAGAAGTGGAATTGCTGGATTATACAATAATTCTATGTTTAATTTTTTTTCTTTTCAGGAGCCACCATACCAGTCTTCATAGTGGCTGCACTATTTTATATTTGTACCAGGAATGTCAAGTGTTCTGTTTTCTCCACAACCTTGTTAGGAGAACACTTGTTACTTTCTGTTCTTTTTGAAAATCAGTGTCCTAATGGTGGTGAGATGATATCTCGTTGTGCTTTTAATTTGCATTTTTCTCTATTGAATAGTGACTTGAACATTTTGTCTTGTGCTTATTGGCCATCTGTATATTTCCTTTAGAGAATTGTTAATTCAATTTCTTTGCAATTATTTATTTATTTATACTATATATTTTTTTAAGTAGACTTCACACCTAGTGCAGAGTCCAACGTGGGGCTTGACCTCAACAACTCTGAGATTAAAGCATGAGCTGAGATCTTAACCAACTGAGCAACCCAGGCACCTCTCTTGGCCCATTTTTAAATCTGGTTGTTTATTTTTTTGTTGAATAGTAGGAGTTCTTTATACATTTCTGTGTATTAAGCCCTAAGGAGACATATGACTTAGAAATAATTTCTCCCATGTTGTGGGTTTCCTTTTCATTGTGTTGATAGTGTGTTTCGATGCACAAAAGTTTTTAATTTTGATAGAGTCCAATTTACTTATATTTTCTTTTGTTGTCTATGCTTTTGATGTCATATACAAGAAGTCACTGCCAAATCCAATGTCATGAAACTTTTCGCATATCTTTTCTTTTAAGAGTTTGGATTCACTTTAAGCCAGTCTCTTGTATATAATACATTGTTAAAGTCCAACTTAATTCTCTGCATGTGAATATTTACTTTTCCCAACACCATTTGCTGAATAAACATGGAATGTTTTACAAATCTGTGTGTCATCCTTGCCCAGACGCCATGCTAATCTTTTCTATATGGTTCCAATTTTAGTGTACGTGCTCCCAAAGCAAGCAGTAGATGTCTTTTTAAATTAAAATTAAAATTATATTTGAGATTTCTGAGCCCCTGGAAAATCACAGTGATTTATGTATTTACCTTATAAAAAGAGAGATGCCAGAAATATTTTAGGTTGCCCTGATATAATTTATATTTCTGAATTAGACTATCAGTATTATAAGAAATTCCTGGGGAAAATTGTCAAGTGAAAGGATAATTTTGTACAGATAAAATATTATCCATATAAAAATTTCTGAGACTGTACATTGTACCAAACAAATTGATAGCCTCAAGAGATTTGTTAATGCTTTCATTGTCCATGACATAATCGTAGCTGTAAAAAAATTTTGATAAAATTCTTTGAAAGAGTTATGTATTCTAGTGCAATGGAGAAGTTGACTCTCTTCAATTTTATTACTGTTTATTACTATAATAAATCAATCTTATCATTTAGTCCAATAATCAGGCAGTTCTGCTTCTTTGGTAGTTATAATACAACAAGTATTCTTTACCAGATCCAGAAGCCATATTCTTAAATAATTCTTCAGGAGAAAGCCTTCAAAGTATAATTTGTAATCCATGAATTGTGACATAATAACTATCCATCAAAGTAATTACTTTATTTTTGGAAAGATCTTCAGAAATAGCCTGAAAACACAGTTTTTGCCTCCTCAATGAAAAATAAATTTAAAAAATTTTTTTAAATTTATTTTTATGAAGTGACAATAGATTTTTTAATGTTTATTTATTTTAGAAAGAGAAGAGAGAACAAGCAGGGGAGGAACAGAGAGAGAGGGAGACACAGAATCCAAAGAAGTCTCCAGACTCTGATTTGTCAGCACAGAGCCCCACGTGGGGCTGGAACTCACCAACTGTGAGCATCCACTGAAGTCCGATGCTTAATCAACTGAGCCACCCAGGTGCCTCCTGCCGAAAATTGTTTTAATGTTTAAATACTTTTGAGAGAGAGAACGCTAAAGCAGGCTCTAGGCCCGAGCTATCGGCACAGCCTGATTCTGGGCTCGAACTCACGACTGACTATGAGATCATGACCTGAGCCAAAGTCCGATGCTTAACCTACTGAGCCACCCAGGCACCACTAAGTAACTGGAATTTACATAAAAACTTTAAAAAATGCTTTAAGCTCTTCTTTCTCTAAAGAATACTTCTTGGGGCACCTGGGTGGCTCAGTTGGTTAAGTGTCTGACTTCAGGTCAGGTCATGATCTCATGGTTCCTGGGTTCTGGCCCTGCGATGGGCTCTGTGCTGACAACTCAGAGCCTGGAGCCTGTTTTGGATTCTGTGTCTCCCTCTCACCCTGTCTTTTCCCCACTCACACTCTGTCCCTCTCTCGCTCAAAAATAAACATTAAAAAATGTATTAAAAAATAAATTCCAGTTAGTTAACATTCAGTGTAGTATTTGTTTCATGTGTCTAATACAGTGTTTCAGCAGTTACGTACAACACCTGGTGCTCATCACAGCAAGTGCACTCCTTCATTCCCGTCACCTATCCTATACTATGAATAACAAATGATATTTTGCATATTGAAGATGCCCCATTCTCCATCTCCCAGTACCACCAGTCAAACCCAACTTATTATTGAGCCTAAGATATAAGAAACAGCCGAATGAATTACTGTTCATTTGAATATCTCAATAGTATAAGCCCTACGTGATGAGCAACTATTTGGTGTTACCTAGCAATGCTTAAAGAAATGGAAGAGATGGAAGAAGAAATATAGGCAGGCATCAAGCCACTACAAAGCCGGTTGAATTTTGAGTGCAAGACCAGTTACATTATTGTGCATATTGCACTAAAGGGTCTTATCAGAAAAAAAAGTATCAATGAAACCATATTTCAGAAACATTTTTGAAAAAACTGCCTCTCTAGAATGTTATTTCCTGCGATTCCCGCTCCAGCTGGATCCCATCATCGACAATAACTGTTAGAATCCTAATCCGAAACCTGGGTGTTCATACATTTATCCAGCAAACATATTTATTAGTTACACTGCTGCTAGAGTGCACTGATGAGATGATGAGGGTCTAGATCAGGCAAAAGGAACAGAAAAGAAGAGTTGAAAATACATTTGAGGTAGAATGTATAGAATATGGAGACTGATTGGAATAAAATGAGAAAAGGAAGCTTGAGATTTTAAAAGACGATGTAATCATGACTCTCATACGAAAAGAAATTGGACACCTGCCCAAGATTTTTTTTCATTCATTGACTAATGAGGAAGTCATAGATATTACAGTTGATTCAAATGAGATTAAGAATCACACATATATTAAGATTAAGTATGCTAAAATCAATTTGCAAATGGTTGCAAAACTGACTTATTCCATGGGAGATAGAGAGAAATCACCTGCATTTTTCCAGATGAAAGCCATATGCTTGATTTTAGAAGCAATCATTTGTAGGAGCTACTAGTTATCTACAACTTATAAAAATGGTAAAAAGGAAAAAAAACCTCAAAGGCAATGAAAAGTACAGAGAACCTATACAATCAGATGCCGATAATGGTGTGCTCAGACAACTGTTTGGTTTTGTTTGTTTGTTTGTTTAGAGAGAGACTGTGTGAGATGGAGATGAGTGGAGAGGGAAAGAGAGAGAGAGAGAGAGACAGAGTGAGAGAGAGAGAGAGAGAGAGAGAGAGAGAATCCCAAGCAGGTTCCCATATTCAGCAAGGAGACTGACATGGGACCCCATCATAGGACCCTGGGATCATGACCTGAGCCGAAATCAAGAGTCGGATGCTCAACTCACTGAGCCACCCAGGTGCCCCCAAGAATTGTTTCTGTTTCTATTGAAGATCTCCAGTAATCCTTATGGTCCATCTCAAAAGACAAAAGGTAATGAATCTTAAACAAAAATTTTAAGAATATGTCTTTTTCAGAGACTTAAAAATAAATACTGACATGTGCTCTCTACATTTGGCATTTGGAAACTGGTGTTAAGTTTTCAGGGAAGAGTGATAACAAGGCTCATAGTCTTGAGAAGATTTATTTATTTGAATCTACCAGAAGGAACACAGTAAAACATTGTAAAGAAAATAGACCTTCAAGTTAGATTACCCAAGTTCACATTCTGACTTCATTACTAACTAGCTCCTGATTTGGGGGAAGTTATGTACTTTCTCTATAACTCAGTTTCTTCATTGCTCAAATGAGAATGATAACAGGATTTAATTTATAGGACTGTTGAGAAGATTTCGTTAGATAATAAATGTCATGTACCTGACATATGGTAAGCACTCAGTAAATGCTATCTATTAGTATCTTGAGAGAAAGGCTATTAATATCACCAGAGTTCATATAAAGAGTACATTTTGATGGAAGCTTAAATGAGTTCAAAATCCTTTCTCTGATTACAGCATTTTCCTGAATTTTCCATTTGCACACCTCTTCAGCCCTATCACCTTCAGAGCCGACTTCGCGAGATCCAGGTAAGAGCGTTATCGTGAGAGATGGAAGGAACAACCACTTGGTGACTACAACCGTGAAGTCTCAATCCCACCATCACTAGTGTCCTCTGGGCATCTAAGGTCCCATGGCACTCACCTGTCAGCAGTGAGTGTTTTGCAGGTAAATTCAAACTCTAATACGGTGGCCCCAAAAGCATTGCTTGGTATCTTCTCCATAGCAAATATTTATCAATCAAATAAGTTGTTTTTAATCAGGTAAACAATTCCCAAATTATATAAACCATACATGTCAACATGGGAAAATAAGCATTCTAAAGCAAAAGGAAGACATATTAGTAGGATGTGCTGAATGACGGATGGCTTGAATAAATCCTACTGCCAGAAAATAAAGGGAAAGAAATACTGAGCAAAGTAGTTTTATGCATGTATCCCAGCCACTTAAACAAGGACTCCGCAATGCCTGTTATAATTTCAAGTAAAGCCTTCAATAATTGCGGTTATGTTTTAAAAAATGCTTAAAACATCTTGGAAGAACATGCGTCAAAAATTGAGTCAGGATAAGGAGTTCATTGGCTTTTTTTTTTCTCACTTTTTTTATGTTTTACTCTGCTATCTGAATTTCTTATAATGAATCACTTCAGTGTTTAAAAGTAGAAGAAACCAAGACCCACAAAACCCTCAAGATGCCTTTTTGAAGCCTCAGACAGAAGAGAGAAATATAGACACACAAAGTGAAATAAATTGTCTTAATTAATTTAATTTTTTTTACTAACCACCATATTGCTATGTCAATAATGAACATTTCCCTATATCGTTAATGTAGAAAATATTGCTCCTGTATTGGGAATATGCTTGAAGAGTTATGGAGCACCTGGCAAAGAAAAGTAGCCAACTTTATGATAGAAAGTTCTGTATTCCCCTGGTAAATGTACAGTTGTTATTCCAGCGTTAGCAATAGCAAGTGAGCACTTCTGTTAAAGTTACCAAGTTACTTACTCCCCCGGTTTCCATAGTAACCACTTTTTTTTTTGGTACATGTGTAAGAATCGCAAAATTAAGAATGGAGTTTCTTCCAGAAGTAAGTTCCACAGTACCAGGAGGAGAGGTGGGTGGTGATCTGTGTTTGAATGGACCTTAAAATAGATCGGCACTTCTGGTCCCTTTGTAAGGATCATAATATAACGCTCCTCTGTCAAACTAAAAGAAGATGTGGAAATGGGAAGAAACAATCAATAAGGGATTCAACTTCAAAAACAGGAAAAAAAAAATACTGCTTAAGACAGCATGCTAATGGGCTGTGAAGGTGAGTCCCTCACAAAGTTTTTCTGTTGGCCCCCAGAAAGGAATGCATAGGTTACGCACATAAAATCCCTTTTTGTATGGTAATGGCAGCTTTCCCCAGGGCAACAGGAAATAGGAAAGGAAAATGTTTCTGCAGGTCTGAGGTGAAGTTAAATAGAATTTTTTGGTAACTAATCACACTTCACCAACTCCAACACTCTTGCCACCAAGGATCCTACGCTGTATTGCTCTATTTTCTCTTGCCTTATTGTATCAAAGCTTACTCTTTACAATCTGGAGAAA